ATAGATTTGTATTTAAAAATATAATAACATTTTTTTAATTCGGTTTGTAGCTGAGATTAAAGCAAGAGCATTTCTATAAGTATCTTTTTACTGAAAGGCCATGTTTCTATTAATTATTAGAGCGATTCCGCGCTGTGTTTAAATTTTTAAAGACTTTTTGGGAAAGAGAAAGGGCAGAAGAAAGCGGCAGAGAAAGAGAGAGGGACAGAGAGAGAGAGAGTGAGAGAGCCAGCGCGCGCAATTTTTGAGCATCTGAGCTTTTTTCGGCTGCTCTCTGTTTTTGTGGTGAATTTTGGCCTAAACGCACGTGTCCCAGTTCAAAAAGCCGCCATCTCCGCCCGTCTGCCCCTCTCTTTCTTTCATTGTATCCTTGTCTCGCTTTCTCTGTATTCTCCCTATCTCTTCGGTACCCCCCTCCCCGAAGTATTCTTCTTTTGCGGTTGCAAATTGGCCCGGCATGTTTCTTTATTCTCCATGTGGGAGTGTAAAAGAGCCAGTGTGTGTGTGTGTGTGAGTGTCTGTTTTTAAGTGTGTGTTGGCTGTATGTGTGTGTGTGTAGTAGTACTACAGATGGATGGAAGTGCGTGTTTTTTACGAGATTGCCTTTTCGGCTTATGCTCTGGGGCCTACATGGCCTTTCCCTCTTTCCTTCTGGTAAAATGGCTAAAATGGGTAAAAATGCATGTATGTACTCTCGTTTATATGCTGCACACACGTGCATGTGTGTGTACGTGTATGTGGTTGTGACTGGCACATAAATACCCTATAAGTACTCATCTTTAAAGTTACTCTGCACCACACAGACTCCAGACTCCAGGAACTCCCTAGCTGCCCTCTTAAGTAGGCAATATAAATTCACTTTGAGTGCAACCAAAATCGTGGCCTGAATTATACATAGAAATTGTAGAATGTCGAACAGCCTAAATAAATGTTAACATTTTATGCTTTGTTATAAGTTTTTTAAAGTTATTTATATTAAAGTTTCTGAATTAAAAAAAATGATTCCCCCCTTTAAATGTAAATATTCCAACATATTTCTGTTTGGTTCCTACAATGTTGTACTTACTTTAAATAATTATAAAAGAAAATCCCATACGACTTTAAGTTAAGCACTCTCTTTAAAGCACCCTTTTAATATCTTGATCGGAATCAACGACCATGTACTAATGCATTGGCCTGGGAAGCGGGCTGGAACGAATCCAAATATTGCACAAATGGCGCCCGGATAATAATGAATAATGGATAAGTGCAAAGAAGTCATTTGCCAAAGGCCATAGAAAACACCCCAGCTCTTCCACATATATATTTATATTTATATTTAGAGACAACTGCGTTGGAATATTAAAGAATATTACTTGGCGCTCGATGTGTGGGCTAAAACTTAATTCGCTGGGCCCGTGGCAATTAAAAGTCACTTACTTACGGTAATTGATTGCCTTTTGGATTTCGCTCTGCACATAAATATAAGATGGGGCCGAGGGAAATGCCTCAATTTCGATCCGATTGCCGGAACTGTGGACTGCAGACTGCAGGCTGTGCCAAATCAAACACAATGGGGCCCCAGTGCCGGGGGTACAAACATTCGGAAATGCACCTGTGTGCCGGCAGGAGGGCGGAAAGGGGGAAGGGAGGTGGTTCATACGTGGCTGGTCGATTAATGACTTGGCCTTCATGAAAAATTAACCATTTTAATTTGAGGCCAACGCAAAAGCATGTTATTTGCTAATTTTCCCATCAAGTTCGAGGCTATCAAAGTGCTTGCATAATGATTACGTACGTGGGCTTGACATTCTGAATTCATCCTAAAATCTAGAGTCATTAGAAAAAAAAGATATCTAGGAGATCTATTGACAAATAATAGATTTAGTTTAATATGTCTGACAGATAAGCGAATATAAAATATACAAAAATAAAACTAGCAAACTTAGAAACAATTAGTATAAATTGGTAAATTCTTAAAACAAATAAATATAATTTATTTAATTTTGTTATATTTTAAATGTCTGTAGTGAAATCTATAAAATTGTTATTTAAATGAATATGTATTGAAATGAATACAAAATGCATCTTTTCACACTGCACGTGGGCGCCATCTGTGGGCATGCACTTTCAGCTGACCACTGGGCTAGCATGGCGTATACTTGATTTCCCTGAGATTTTTTACACGCCTCCTACACGTTCTCTACATGCAACTTTCGAAGCATACTTTTCAGGGTTAAGTGCACTTCCCCGAATTGTTTCGAACTTTTGCAAAAACTTTCTTGAATGCATTCTTGTTTTATTTAATTGTATGAGTCATCCAAACTATTGTGCCAAGAAAATCTCTGTTTTTTGTCATATATAAGCTTGGGAAAAGCGGCTTTGCAAGCTTTTCGCGAGAGGGAGAGGCGGAGAGTTCGCAAAGAGAAAGGCTGTCTGATTTAATGCCGCGGAACGCAGTTTAAATGATGCAAGCCCAAGGAAAATGCAAATAAACCGGGTTCCGTATAATTACAGACTTTTGCCGACACCCTTAAATAACAAGCGCCGCAGAAGGCATTCAAATATTTACCCACATGGAAAATAATTGGAATTCATTAAATGTACTCTTTTTACTTCGAAGTTTTAAAGATGAAAATATCCTCAGCTACAACGAATTTCAATTGTCAAAGACATTAAAGAAATAAGTGCACCAGATCGCAGAAATAATAAATAAATTTGCCCTTTATCGATGAACGAAGGATGTAAAATTCGAGTCTGGGGCCATGATTTTACATTTAAGAGCTCATAAAATCAACACACAAACATGGTTTATTTTAATAGAGTGACACTCTTATCCCACTTTTTACTGCCTTTCCACGCTACTGAGTTTCTGATAAATTGTTGTGTGTAAAAGGGAGAATATATTTCAGGATGTTTAAGAAGATAAAATGGGTTTACAGTTAAAATTTCAAACAGGTATTCATGTTTCTACTGATTTTGGTTTTCTTCCACAATTGATATCAGAATTTATACAAGGATTCTGAGAAAAAAGGTCATTAAATTTGAAAAATTATGTTTTCAAACATATTTAAACAAAAATTAAAGAAAAACCGATTCTTGCTTGGTGAATTATTTAAAAACATGTACAAATACAATTATTAAGCTTTTGTATACCTTTTTATATACGATTCTTAAATGGTTTATAAATGATAGAATACTACTATATATATATTCCATTTGGTTCTTTGTATCGGTGGCGCAATTTTAGTTGCATACTTTTTGAATACCCACTTTTCTTTCATTTTTAACCCCAGTGATTGGGGGATTTATGTATTAATGCTTTGTTTAAGTGACCTATTAGTTTATATAGATAGGATGATTAGTACTCACATGATGCGGTGGTAGGCATCGAGCTGGTTGTGCGCACAGGTCACGGACTGCTCGGACTCGGTAGAATCATCGCGCAGCGTGGCAACGCCGAGCGGCAGAATCGGGATGATCGCAGCTGTGGCAGCTGCGGCCGTTGCCGGCGGCCCCGCCAATGTCGTCGTTTGTCCCGCTCCCGCTCCTGTTCCCCCAACCGCTGTCCCGCTTCCGCTCCCGGATACCGCCGCTGCCGCTGTCGACGCTCTGCCCGCCCCGACTGCGCTGCCAGGGAAGGTCTGCTGCGTGGACGATGATGATGTCGTACTATCGAGCTCCTGTGCAAGATGAGTTCCCGAAAGAGAGTAAATTTAGTTTATAGTTCATCACAAAAGAGGTGGACAAAAGCGGTTTATCTTTAGCTTTTCGATCAGTGAAATATACAAAATAATAACATTTATTTTTTAAATATTTGGAAATATACTTTGAAATTACTTTATTAAAGTTACATTTTACTTGCAAAAAATATAAAAACTCATTAAAAACAAACATAACAATATTGTCTACTAAAAATAATTGTTTTAAACATTTTATAAAATAATCTAAACAAGAAATAATTATCTTAGATATCATAATACAAATAATATAAGGAACATAACTATGATTTAATTTGTATTTAGCATTAAAAATTATAGAAATACAAAATAGATCATTATTAAGAAACAAATAATATTGTCTACCAAATCCATTTATTAAATTGTTTCTAACAATATTCTTAACAAGCAATAATAATACTAAATAATTCTATTAAGTGTACACAGGTTTTAAATGTTTCAGTTTAAGCAATTTGAATAGCTTAAATAATTTTAAATATTTTAAGGAAATTAGTGGAAGAAAAAATCAAGTTAGTATTCCGATTGGAGACTAAACCAACTCTTTTGTCCACCTTCTAAAAAAGAAAGGTGCAAATGGGTTGGATTGCTGGGGTTATTGGGTTATTGGTGGGTAGGTGGTTAGTGATACAAAAAACCTTGATCTCGCCGGCTTCCGGCTGAGAGAATCGCTTCCGCTCGTAGAGGATCTCCCGCTCGATGGAGCGACTGCGGAAGGCGGGGGGCAGCGATCGATCGGGGGGCGGTGTCTGTAACTTTGGAGTCACTGGGGTGTTGCTGCTGCCGCTGCCCGTTGACTGTTGTTGCTGCTGCTGCTGTTGGTGTTGCAGGTGCTGCTGCTGCAGATGCAAGTGCTGTCGCTGCTGCTGCTGCTGCAGATGATGAGAAGAGGAGGAGGCGGCGGCGGCGGCGGCTGCGGCGGACGAGGTGGGCGGACTCTTCTCGCTGGACTGCTGCTGGTGTTGCTGTTGCTGCTGCTCGCGGTGCTGCTGCTGTTGCTCGCGCTGCTGCTGCTGCTGGTGGTGCTGCTGCTCGCGGTGCTGCTGCAGTTGCTGCTGCTGCTGGCGCTGCTGCTGCTGCTCGTCCCGCTTCTGCTGGCGGCGTATCTCAAAGTCCAGCAGACGGGCCTCGCGTTGCTCCTTGTCGCGCTGTTTGCATGCAATTGTCGCAAAGTGCATTCTTACTATCAGGTTTAATGGGTTATCGCATGGCCATCGTTATTATTTGTTCGCTGTTGCATTTTCAATTACTGCTGCATTTTAATTTGTTTACTTATGCTTTCTCTATTTTTGTATAATTTTTTTCATAATTTTTTCTTATATATTTTTTTTGTAGGAATTATTTTTATTTTTGGAATTTTTTTTGTAGTCAATTTGAATTGCACGCGCGGTAGACACACATACACAACACACGCACACACCGAATTGGCCGCGACAGAAAGAGATAGGGAGAAGGCAGACAGAGAGAGAGAGGCACACACACCCACACACTCACCTTGTAGTTGATGGCGTCCTGCTCTTCCTTTTTGGCCTCTCGCTCGTTTCGCTGTCGATCGCGCTGCTTCTCTTCGTCGGTCTGCGAGTTCTTGCTGTCTATATAATTGCAAGTAAAAATTAATGAAAATAAATTACACAAAATGGCAATTAAAAAATAATAAAATACAATTAAAAAGGGCAAAGAAAAACCATCGAAAAATAAAAAAGAAACCAGCAGAAAAGAACCATTTAAAAAATTATTAAGAATAAAATTATAAATAATAATAATTAATTATTTAAAATTTAAAAGATGGGTTATTGGAAAACCAAAGAAAATAGAAAGTACAACAAACATAAGACAAGAAAAAAATATTGAAAAAAGTAGAAAGAGAGAGAGAGAAAGGGGGGAGAGAGAGAGGTCATGTTGAAACCGTTTCAATCGATTCTCATTATGGTATTTCAATTTGCAATAATTTTACTGTCATCCGCTACTCAGGCTCTAAACATGCAGGGTGAAAAATGCTAAATGGTTTGATTAGAAAAAAAAAAAACAACTTGCAGCATGCATACAATCTACGGCTCTCACTCGAATACGCACACCCACACCCACATATGAATGCATGTTTCGTATATATACAATTCAGAATTCAAGGCCACGCCCCCCTACTTACGCTGCTCCCCATCACGCCCACCACGCACTGCCATCAAATAGCGACTCAGCCGGGGCGGCGTCATACTAATTCGCACCTTTCGACAGGTGACAGGTGAAAAAGCCCACACACACGGACACGGAATCAACAGTCGTCAGTTGCGGGCGAAGAACCAGGCGACACTGACACTGAACACCAAAATGCGGCCCGCTAAAAACATAAAACTAAACACTGAACCCAAAACACTAAACACACTCAAAGTTGACCGCGGCCCAATTAGTGTCATCTTCTCAGGCGGATTAAAGCTCAGCTGCGAGCTCTGAGCAGCATTGCATTCGCGGCATTTAGGCAGATATGCATTCTGCGGCAGTGTGACCAGGTCGCGGGCGGTTCTTTCACAAACACTGGGCACACTCCTTGCTTTTAAAGCTACTCTACTCAACTATCCGTGTTAATTCGCGTGTTCATCTTAAATGCAAGACGTTAATTTAAATTGAGCTCAGGTTTCAGGTCTCTTAATTATTTTACTTATTTATTTAGCTGGTTGTGTGAGTGTGGGGGTATATTTGTTTTGTGAACATTCCCACTTTGAAGAGCGGTCTCTACTCGACTAACAGTCAACATTTGGTTCGCTGCCAGTCGTTTGTGCCATTCTCGCGCATTTATGTTTCCCATGAATATTTGAGCTTTGAGCTTTGGCCTTGGCTTCAACCGATTGAGGGCCTCACCGTTGCGTTTCGCTTCGGAACCGCCTGGCAACCCACCACAAGAGCACAAGAGTTCACCAAGTTCAGTGTGTGCGTCACAGGCGGTGGGTAAACATTTCACTTGGCCACTGTGTGTGGTGTGGTGGATTGGGATTGATCATAGGAATATTATAATTTCGGTGGCAAAGGGAGTTTGAGGGTTCCTTTTTGGAAGCATTCAGTGTTGATGGGTTATTATATTTAAAGGGTTTTTGAGGAAATGATGAAAACATGCACTTTTGTAGTGTGGCCAGAGGCGACAAATGCTTTTAACGGGGCGTTGGTTACACTAATTTGTTTTCTTATGCTTTTACCACTTATAAAATTGTTTAACTATTTCACTACATTTCTAGTTTCCTTTTTGGCTACCCTAAAAGCGTGTGCAAATACTCAAACCGTCGCTACTTATTCTAGTTACTTTATATTCTCATTATGTGTTTAACCTTTTCCAAAGCTTCAAGCATGCGTCTTGCCAACCGGCTGCAATTATCTCGTTCCAACCCTTTGGGTGACTACAAAGTGGTCCCGAGTGCTGCACACAAGTCACAAGTTTACACCTGCCGCATCCTTTGACCCCGTTCCATTCATAAACAACTTTTGTACACACGCACACAATCATATCAGGGTCATCATTATGTTATCATCATCATCATCATCGCCATTTTATCATCATCAACAAAGCGCTACGAAAAATGCGAAAACAAAATCCAAACCTAAAAAATGAAGACAACTAAGGGGAAACAAGGAACGTGGAACGAAACGTAACGAACTACACGTAACGTAACGGAACAACTAACGAAACGGAACGGCGGAATAACGGAACTCGCTATGTAGGGGGGGGTTTCATTTCTGGTTTTTTCTTCGGTCTAAGGGGGGTTTCTAATGGGGATGTGGTTTGTGGTTCAAAGGAATACGGTTGATATTCCATTTGGCCAACACTACGAGACCAGAGAGAGACAAAGACAGAGAGAGAGAGAGAGAGACAGACGGAGTGTGTGAGACAGTGAGAAAGAAATTCTTCCTTACCTCAATGTGTTGTTTTTATTTTTCTGATGTTGTTGTACTTGTGGTGATGATGTTTTTGTTGTTGTTGTGTCGATTTTGATTTTGATTATATTTTAGTAACGATTTTTGTCGAATTTTTGCAATTGTTAACACGCGATCGCGATCGCGACGCGAACCGGAACGATTGGAATGGAATTAGTACCGTTACGTGGGTGCGGTGTGTCTGAGTGTGTCTTTTGAGAAAGAGATAGACATATAGGCAGATAGAGAGAGAGAGAGAGCGTGAGAGAGAGAGAGAGAAGAGACTGAGAGGGAGAGAGATAGGTAGCGATCGCACACGAAGAATCTCTCAATCTCCGATTTAGTTTCAGTTTACGATTTAATTCTATATATTCTTGATTTTGTTTTCTCTTTTTAGTTTTTATTTCGTATTTGTTAGGCTTGATTCCTTAGTTTTATTATTCCTTTTTTTTTTGGTTGTGTGTTGAACATAGAAGACAATACAATCAAAGAAGAGCAAAGAAAAGAAGGACAAAAAACAAATCTTCAATTATTTTGTACTTAATTCGGAACTAAATCTTAAGTTTATTCCTATTGCCTGGGGAGGGCCAATCTCCTGGTTAAATTCTATTGGCCGGACCCAAGCAAATATCTATTTAAATGGACTATCAGCGAAAACCAAGGCAACTCAGGGATCGTAATCCTCTAATCTATCCTTTAAGCCGGATTACCTCTCTCTTTGGCTCTGGTTTTCTGGGCCTTGACTACAGTTACGCTATATATTATTCAAATATATATGGTATGTGGCAAAATATATAACTATTTATATACCTAAGTAACAACGAAAGGGTATGGAAATCATCGACTATATATAGATATATATTGAGAGATATACTCTATGTGGCTTTCACAACTAAGAGGAGTCACTTAACAAACGTACCACATACAGACATATACATACGTACAGACAAGTTACATATATATGTTAAATGTTAAATGTTAAATACAGATAGATATACAGAGAGAGAGGACTCACAGGATGGCCTAGTCATACAAAAAAAGAAGTGGAACCAAAGAACAAACGATAATCGCACTCCCTATTGACTATACACGGGCTATATTATTGATCACTTTCGGTTATATCGATCAATCAGATTACATAGACATCGAGGGACGAACAACACAAACGAAGTGGGATCAGTATCGGTTTTTTTTCTTTTCGTTTTTGTTTTTTTTTGGGTCTGGGATCATTACGATTGGTAATAGTAACAGTGGGTGGGTCCAAGGTGCTGCCACGCATGCGCAAACCGAAAGACTCACTTGAGGAACCGCCGCCAGCGCCCGGTGGCGGGTAGGAGAACCAAAATTGATGGGCCAGTTTGGAGTGCGGCCCGACCAAGGGGCTGCCTGAAAGAAGATATCATATGGGTTAGTTTGGGTTCCATTTTCGAGGGCCTAGTGAGCGGAGGATCGCAAGGAGTGGGAAGTTGTATGAAGAAAATGTATTTAAAGATGGTTTAAAATGTCCTACTGCCAGGTATTCATTTTTATATCCTAAGATATTGTATTTCAAACGAAAGAAAATATTTATTTTACTTTTAAATCATATTTAAACGAAGTCTCAATGAAATTAGCCTGCTGGAAATCTTCTCAAAAACTATCATCAGAATCCTTTTTATTTTTATATTTATTTATTTATCATACAAATTATATTAATATTTTTTACACACACTTTTCATAATTAAAGATTTTAGGAAAGATTAGGAAAGCCAAATAATTTGAATTCTTTTTGGTAAAATATAAAATTGCTAAACTTTTAACTTTTATAGGATGTGATATTTAATGGCATCACTTCTTTAAACCCCATGATCCTCCGCTGCCGAACCACTGGGAATTCGTATCCGAATCCTCCGTGGACTACTCACCGATAAACAAGTCCTGTTGCTTGCGCCTGTGTGCGTGCGCCTGTGGAAGGACCTCAGTGGCTTTTCAGTTTTTTTCAGACCAGTTTCACTGTCTTCCAGTCTTCGACCAGGCACGTGCGATAGGTAAAGTGGGGCTAGGTCCGACTGGGGATGGTTCCTATGTTATACATATATATATAATATATATATATATGGAATAGCCAGTTAGCTAAGTAGCCAGATAGCCGGATAACCAGATGAGCCGGAAAGAGAGGCGCCGAGGGCGTGTCAGTGGTTCATTTCGGCGACTGGGGAATTTGCTAAGCAACACGGCGCTGCTGCTGGTCACCCTCTGGGCCAATGGTTAACTAATGGGAGCCGAAAAATAATAAAACGAGAACACAAACAAATTAGACTCGTACGCAAATTGGGGCCATCAACTTACTGACTTATCGTCAACCATGTGGCAAGTAATCAACCCGTCCTGCACACACACAAAAGCATACAGTGGAAAAAAATGTAGGCATCTATGTATAAAATACTTGAATAAATAATACTTATACATCAAGAATATTTAAGGAAATAAATTAAAAAATAGTTATTTCTTTTATTATAAAAAAATATAACAAAGTTTGCATTTCGTAAAAAACAAAGAAAATAAAATTGCATAACAAATAATATAAAAGCTACATTTATTTCAAAATACATTTTCAAAAGATACATTTTAAAAATAAATATTAAAGTTTAATTATCTCAGATTTTTCCATGAAGTCAGAAGCTTTTGGTAGGCTTTTCTTCAAGTGTAAGGACTAGGCATTAGCAACCGCAAAATGCCGAATGGCTGTGGCAAGCATATCTGGTTAACCATGGCAAATCAAATCGAATGGCATTACATCAGCGAGAGCCACTCGAGGGTTAAGTGGCTGCATGGGTTAATGGGGGTAGAAGAGGGCTCGCAGCAGCTTTTATGCCATCTGTATAGGCTTAGGCACCAGTATGTGAAAATGGGTCAAAAACGTGACTCTTCAGCGATAAGAAAGCGGTGGGTGATGGGTGGTGGCTGGAGGTTCGCAGGGCGTGGGAAAAGTGGGAAACAAAAAACGGCAAACGGAAAAGGCGGCTTAAAAAAGGGGCGTACAAATACGCTGAAAGGGGGCGGGGCCTAACCTTCCCAGCATAAATAAATACAACCAAATGACACGGTTTTCAATTGGCCCTCTTTTGTTGCTGTCACTTAATTTGTTTAAATCAAATATAATGGCTTTACAGTTGAATTCAAAGTAATTATTTAGCTTAATAATTTATATTAATACATCAAATAACATTAAGGTTTTTTTTTATTTCTATTTTAATTTTATATTGTCACCTCCACAAAACAAAAATCATTCTCTCCTGAAATTAAATCTGAATTTATCTTTGCATAGAAATTTAAAATAATTTTGAAAAAAAATATTTTGTTATTATAATTAATTTAAGTAAACAACAAAAATGTTTTTTATTTGCTTTTAGGTATTCTTTTCAGCTGTGGTTTATTAAGGTTCTTCAATGAGTTTTAATTATATTATTTTAAAAGTACTTGGTTTATACAAGGTTTTCTTTGATTTAATGGATTTTCTTAAACATGTGTGGTTTCACTCTACATATTTGGGTCACTTTATCAGCAAAAGTTTTTCCTTTGCCATCAACTTCTCAACTTTGCCATTTTGAGCATCCTTTTCGAGCAGAGAGTTTTTAATGCGTTTATTTTGTATATTATAATTTTAATTACGCCTTGTTTTGTTTTTAATTGAATTAATTTGGTAAGAGTGCTTTTGTGTTAGCTAGTACAACAACCATTATGAAATTTTATTGCTTGCCACCTACACCTAGACACACACACACTCACTTACACTCAGAAAAAAAACAGGAACAACAACAACAACTGGGCCTAGGGCAAAACCAAAAACACACCCATAAAAAGAGCGAGTGAGAGCGGGAGACAGAGATAGGGAGACAGAGAGAGATGGGATATTTTGGGGGCCTGTTGCGACCCATAAGGGAAAACAACCGTTAATTAATGCTATTGTGAATTTTCAAGCACTTTATTACTCTTCTTTTTTTTCCCGCACAAAAAAAAACAACTAGGAGCACAAACACACTGGCAAAAAAAAGCGAAGGGGCGCAGTGAGAGAGAGCGAGAAATAGAGTGAGAAATTCGCAATTTGGCACACTGCGATTTACCGTTGTACCACTCACTGCTTGCTCTTTACTTCCTGTCCTGTGCCAAAATCAGGACACGTTACTAATGCGTAAAACGCTAAAAAAAAATCAACAAAAGACAAGAGTAAGTAGTAAAAAAACGTAGAAAAACAACAAGAGCCAAAGAGGGAAAATGCAGGAAAAGCGTAAAAAACGAACTAGGACTCAACTCGACGGAGGCGACGACTGCGACTGTGGCTGCTGCTTGCGAGTATGCGACTGCTTGCTGCTGCTGCTGCTGCTGCGACTCCTTTGCTGCCGCTGCTGCTGCTGTTGCGTCGGGTCCTCCGTTCGCCTCTCACCAAACGCGAGTGCGTGCGAAGATGCCGACGAAAGAGGCGCAAGGACGAGGAGGAAGCTGTGGCGGAGGTGCAGGCGGAGCAGAGCGGGCCACATGATTAAAAAGCTAACGGAAGCCGTCGCAGGACCTCTGCGGAGAGAGCGCATGCCGCCGCCAGAGAGAGCGAGAGCGAAAGTTTCCATCGCTGGGGAGAGGGAGAGAGCTTCAGCAAGCAGTGCTGGCCATTAAAAGGAAAGGATACAGCTGTTTTTATAGCTTACAAATTAAAAAAAATTCTTATAAAATCTAAAATATACAGTCGATTTATTAAATATTTAACCAATTGGCATTTAAACCTGGACAATTTATTTTTTTGCCATTTTTCGAAAAAAATCATGAGGTACCCCCTTATAAAAAAATTTAAAACTGACGAAAATTTTATTTATTCAAGATCACCCGGAAAGTGTCATAGATTTATTTCTTATTTAGTTATCTGTTCAAAACAGCATTTATTTTTCGTGTAGGACCATTTTTGGCCAAGTTACAGCAAAAAAACGAAAAGAAAAAATTCCATTTTTTTTACCAAAAACACAGATTTCAATTTTTCACAAAAAATAATTCGTTTTTTTACCATAACAATGGAAGTATTGAACCAAATATAGATTGTCATACCTTTCTAAACTCGTCGTTAAATTTCCAATCGATTGGCATTTAAACCTGGACAATTTATTTTTTTGCCATTTTTCGAAAAAAATCATGAGGTACCCCCTTATAAAAAAATTGAAAATTGACGAAAATTTTATTTTTTCAAGATCACCCGGAAAGTGTCATAGATTTATTTCTTATTTAGTTATCTGTTCAAAACAGCATTTATTTTTCGTGTAGGACCATTTTTGGCCAAGTTACAGCAAAAAAACGAAAAGAAAAAATTCCATTTTTTTTACCAAAAACACAGATTTCAATTTTTCACAAAAAATAATTCGTTTTTTTACCATAACAATGGAAGTATTGAACCAAATATAGATTGTCATACCTTTCTGAACTCGTCGTTAAATTTCCAATCGATTGGCATTTAAACCTGGACAATTTATTTTTTTGCCATTTTTCGAAAAAAATCATGAGGCACCCCCTTATAAAAAAATTTAAAATTGACGAAAATTTTATTTTTTCAAGATCACCCGGAAAGTGTCATAGATTTATTTCTTATTTAGTTATCTGTTCAAAACAGCATTTATTTTTCGTGTAGGATCATTTTTGGCCAAGTTACAGCAAAAAAACGAAAAGAAAAAATTCCATTTTTTTTAATAAAAACCCAGATTTTAATTTTTCACAAAAAATAATCCGTTTTTTTACCATAACAATGGAAGTATTGATCCAAATATAGATTGTCATACCTTTCTGAACTCGTCGTTAAATTTCCAATCGATTGGCATTTAAACCTGGACAATTTATTTTTTTTGCCATTTTTCGAAAAAAATCATGAGGTACCCCCTTATAAAAAAATTGAAAATTGACGAAAATTTTATTTTTTCAAGATCACCCGGAAAGTGTCATAGATTTATTTCTTATTTAGTTATCTGTTCAAAACAGCATTTATTTTTCGTGAAGGACCATTTTTGGCCAAGTTACAGCAAAAAAACGAAAAGAAAAAATTCCATTTTTTTTACTAAAAACCCAGATTTCAATTTTTCACAAAAAATAATTCGTTTTTTTTACCATAACAATGGAAGTATTGATCCAAATATAGATTGTCATACCTTTCTGAACTCGTCGTTAAATTTCCAATCGATTGGCATTTAAACCTGGACAATTTATTTTTTTTGCCATTTTTCGAAAAAAATCATGAGGTACCCCCTTATAAAAAAATTGAAAATTGACGAAAATTTTATTTTTTCAAGATCACCCGGAAAGTGTCATAGATTTATTTCTTATTTAGTTATCTGTTCAAAACAGCATTTATTTTTCGTGTAGGACCATGTTTGGCCAAGTTACAGCAAAAAAACGAAAAGAAAAAATTCCATTTTTTTTACTAAAAACCCAGATTTTAATTCGTTTTTTTACCATAACAATGGAAGTATTGATCCAAATATAGATTGTCATACCTTTCTGAACTCGTCGTTAAATTTCCAATCGATTGGCATTTAAACCTGGACAATTTATTTTTTTCCCATTTTTCGAAAAAAATCATGAGGTACCCCCTTATAAAAAAATTGAAACTTGACGAAAATTTTATTTTTTCAAGATCACCCGGAAAGTGTCATGGATTTATTTCTTATTTAGTTATCTGTTCAAAACAGTATTTATTTTTCGTGTAGGACCATTTTTGGCCAAGTTACAGCAAAAAAACGAAAAGAAAAAATTCCATTTTTTTTTACCAAAAACCTAGATTACAATTTTTCACAAAAAAATAATTCGTTTTTTTACCATAACAATGGAAGTATTGATCCAAATATGGATTGTCATACCTTTCTGAGCTCGTTGTTAAATTTCCAATCGATTGGCATTTAAACCTGGACATTTTATTTTTTTGCCATTTTTCGTAAAAAATCATGATGTACCCCCTTATAAAAAAATTTAAAATTGACGAAAATTTTTTTTTTTCAAGATCACCCGGAAAGTGTCATGGATTTATTTATTATTTAGTTATCTGTTCAAAACAGTTTTTATTTTTCGTGTAGGACCATTTTTGGCCAAGTTACAGAAAAAAAAACGAAAAGAAAAAATTCCATTTTTACCAAAAACCCAAATTTCAATTTTTCGATAGACATTTATACCAAGAATTAAATTTGTTTTACATTTTCGCAAAAAAAAGTTTTTTGACAACACTGATTTCCGTTTAAATACATTTTTGAACAAAAAGCTTGTGGAAGCTCTAACATAAGAAAGCTTTTGGGATGCTAGAACAAAAATTACATGATCAGTAATGCAAAAAACTATAAAATATACATTTTCGAAATACTCCCTATTCTTTTCTCGATTGCAGGTACCTACGAAATATATATTTTTTATTGTGTTCGGAAACATAAACAAATTATCAAAATAACGTCTTTAAAAAAAACTATATTAATTAAAAAATAGATACAACAATCCAAGCAAAAAATAGTTCTTAAATACAAGGGTATATTACCTTCTGCATTTTTATGTTTATTTGTTTATGTTTGATTTCACTTTTATCTGGACCTTCATATCTCCTTATAAGTGTGTGTTATTTTAGGGGGCACGTTGGCTAGACTAAAAGTCAGATAATGGCCTTATCAGCGGAGATAAGCCCCGAAAACGTTGGCCATAAATTTCTAATTTGAGCAAAATGCCGAATTATAAAGTCCGAAAATGGAATGCTGAACTGTGTCATTCAAAAACTCTAATTTCACCTTTCGGACGAACAACACGAGCTATTCGATAGTCAGTATTTGCAAACGTTTTTTTTTTTCGCACACGCACTCGTCGAATCATGCGATAAGGTTAAATATAGTACAAACATGTGTGCACGTACTTATATAAATAAATTGAGACAGGCAGAGAAAATGTATGGTTATTTTATGGGGATCTTGGCTATCACTGAACCTATATTTAATTAATTTACTGAAGGAAGGATTCACGGATATGTGAAAAATATATTATTATTTTTTTTTGTTTTAAAGCTGCCATACATTTTTAAGAATTTTTTTCAGTGTATGCAACTCTTAGCATGCATATAAACGAACTCTCTGAAAAGGCGAGCGAATGCAATTAATGCCTCCCCCTCCTACACCCTTTTGTTCATCAGCTTTCGTTTTTCACTCTCATTGGATTAATTCCAACGGTTTGTTGAACTTTGCTTGTAAGACAGGCAATAGAAAAATCACCCGACAATTCCCGAATTTTCCAAATCAAAAACTGAGATCTGAAGCCGCTCTTATCGCACCTTTTTTTTCGTTCGACGCCTCTCGTAGGTGACCTTGGAAATTTTGATAAACATAAAGACTCAGCGAAACGAAACTGAAAACAAAAACAGAACCAAACAAAGTCTGAGTTTGGAATCAAAAAACAGACAGCATATGGTATGTGTATATGGGGAGTGCTTCTGTATTTGTGTAGAACTCGTTTTTTAAATGCGTCGTGCGTTTATTGGCGCTTCTCTTATACAAATATATCAAAAAATTCATAAATTCATAAACGGTATAAACTGTAGTCTTTAGCTCTAAATACAAATTAAATACGTACAAAATGCTTAGAATAATTATAGCGCAAAAAACAGCAAAATATTAGTGGAACATGTGCTTAGGTTAGGTTAAATAATAACAACACAGAAAAAAATTAGGCTGCATTTGGACCTGATATTATCAATAACTTAAGACCTTCGGATCTTGACGATAATTTCTTATATCATATTAATTTCGACATGAAAAGTATTGATTGGTATTAAAATATCAAATCCATTTTAAAACGAAATAGCAAAAGCACAGAAAAAATTAAGGTGTGTTTGACTGGGTTTTCACATACTTAAAATTCAGATAATTTAGTTAAGAAATCTGATATTTTAAGCTAGGTTATAGTATTTTATGCATATCTTGAAAAACCAGATCCATTTCGATATAATATAATAGCAGCACAGAAAAAAAAGGATGGATTGTTGGGATCTGAATTTGAAATGGAAAATATCATTTATCTCTTAAAATCAAAACTTTGTTCTGCGCTTCTTGTGATTGTTTTTCCTTTTTTTTAAATTGGCTTTCCAAGTGCGTCCTCTAGTGAAGTGGTTGATTACAGGTGATGGCTGATTGGTTTTGGGTTGAATGGGTCACCTCCAAAGTTTCGGGGGACTACGTTACTCCCTGTCGGCGGTGTTCGGTGACTCCCTGCCGGAGGCCTTACACTGCAAACAATAGCGATAGGATACCGGCTCCGGGGGTTTGTTAACCCCTATGTTGACCTGGGTGGCCGCTGCCGCCGCTCCGCCCACGGAATCGAAAGGATTGGGCTTGCTGTCCACCGGGCTGATGGGGAAGTGCTGCCAGTGGGGGCAGGGCATCTGCTTGGGCGGATGGATGGGGAATGGCATTTTCAGGCTCCTTTTTCCTTCACTGCTTGGTTATAGCCTGTATATCTAGTCTCGATCCGCTGTATCTCTGTCTCTGTGTATCTGTATCTCAATCCGAACCCGAATCTGTATCTGCAACTGCAACTGCAACTTATTTTGGAGTGCCTGCCGCTCTGCTCGGAGTCTCGATGCGAACTGTGCGGATTGCTAGAAGCGACGCGGCAACGTCAACGACCAAAACAAAAAACAAAAACAAGCCAAGCACAAAGAGTAGAACCTTCTCAGAGAACTGAGGCGACCATCAGATACCCTGCACTGTAGAAAGTATATCAATTTCATATGCACATATTTTTTTAAACTTTTTTAAATACCTGTAAATTTATAAATAGTGGGTATTCATTATTTTATTTTTTATAATAAACAAAACTAAATAAATACAGTTTTAGGAATTCCTCAAATTTTTTGTAATTCAAATTTTAACCATTTTAACTCATTTATATTTTTTTAAAGAGTTTATATTATAATAATTTAATATGTCACGCTACAAATATTAAACGAAAGGGCAACCTTAAGCACAAGTCCAAATAAATATTATGCCAACGCATTTTATTTTTAGAATAGTACATTTTAAATTGTTTGTACTTTTTGGGTGGGTAAATATTGGTTGACAAACCTTTTTCCGACCACTTGTGTGACTTTTTTAAAACCTAGGGTATGACAACAACTCGGAGGTACAACAACAGTGGCGTCCACATCCACGGCATTGCCATGCAGCACACGCACACACTGAAAGCTGGTCTGGCGGGCTCGTCTAGTCAACAAAGAGTAGAGAGCACAGAGATAGGGCGCGAATGAGAGGGAAAACGACCGGTATGGCACACCTAGAGAAATCGGTATGAGTTCAGTTTTTCTTACATGCCTTATAAACGATTTAATTAAAAGATTGCACTGTTCTCCATTAGTCTGTTTTAAAAGTATTCAGGCTTTCCAAAGTTACACTTCTTAAGTTCATAACTTGACCAATCATATTCCGATTTCAATGCGGAATTTTTTTAAAAGTTTTTGATTTAATTGTTAAACAATCTGCTTTTAAATAATATTGTTTATTATCCGATCTAAATATTTCCAAAACATTATCCATTTTCGTTAAGTGCACTCCCCGTTTGGCTGCTCTCTGTAATATTTTGGGTGGTGGGCGGTGGGTGGGTGATTGGTGGGTGGCGAATGCAGTCGTCGGTTGGCACTCCTCCACTTTATGGTTATGCTTTGTTCGCATTCTCCTTACCATCGCTTCCCAGTTTCATTCCCCTTCCAAGAGATTTTATGCTGGCAAAAGTCGGACTTTGTACGCCAATCGTTGTTAACCCATTGAGCAGGAATAAATATTCTTTAACATTAAGAAATCAAGTCCCTAAAAATAAATAAAAAGATATATAAAATAATTGTATCTTGCAATATAAAATAATCAATAATTTAATTACTTTAAAGAGAAGTATGATGTGGTATTTTCTATAAAGAGAGTATCTTGAAAAAATAATTTTATTTCAATCGGAATTTTAAATTTTTAAATTGTAAATAGTTTTTTCTTTTAACCATCAGTCTTCAAGGGGTTAATCAATCGGGCTAGAAGGGTGTATCTGTCGCGACGCACTCCCTTTCCGGGTTCTCGAATCGCCGGCGAATGTTGTTAACCTCACATTGTGCTTTGTGCTCGCCTTTTGTGCAAGTTTCTTCATTAAGTATACGCACATTCGGTTTAAGTGGGTTGCTCATTAATTGAGCTCGACAACTGCTTGTGAAGTGGCTTGTGTGGCAGATACATAAATATATATCTGAAAGTGGGATCAACGGCGGATGGGGGTACTTGTTTACAGCCAGACAAACTATCAATGAGCCATCAATGCGCTGCGAGATAAAAATATTTACAGAGAGAAAGGAAAAGGCTGAGTAAACAGGGAATTTCCAAGATTGTATATTGATTCTAAACAAAACACACTGTTTTAAGTTAATTATTAGATCTTTATTAAACTTATGATTAGGCAAAATACAATTTTCATCTTCCGCAGCTCAGGGACTGCAGTCGACGAACGTATTATGTCTGATGCATTTACAAACTGCCATTCAAATCTATGCATGGGGCATTGCCATCGGATGATATATCATTTACATATATATCTCGCTATTGGCCTCAATTCTAATTTGATCTAAACAAAAAAAGTTGGCTCTAAGGACTAAATTTACGCTTAGTTAGATTCGATTTTAATTTACTTTAGCCCTCGGCTTGTTTTACATTCATTAGCTGGTGATTTTTAGGGTTTCTCATTTATCGATTTAATTAAGTTTGATATTATTTTAATTTCTTAAAATTTTTCATTAAAATTTTTCGGTTTTACATTAGGGTCTTAGCTTAGGTTTTATGTTATTTTTACTTTTGTTAAATCACTTTACACAGCCCAAGCTGCGTAGGTTACAAAAAAAAAACAATTAAATAACTTCTATATTTCATTTATCATGCGATGCTTGTGGCTTAGTCTATGGATTACAGTTATAAATAGAATTATAAATATGATTATTATGGGTATTGTTATTATTATAATTATTATTAATATTATAAAAAACCTTTACAGTTGTTAAAAATTAAATTACCATTCGCTCGGCTCGTGCCATCGTAAAATTAATTTATTTTAACAATTGCCTACGTTTTATTTGATTTAATTAAATACAAATATATATTTATTTAGGTATATTTTTATATATATTTCATTTGCTTTCGTTTCGCTTGATGTTCTGGATTTAAGGTAATTCGCGTTACATTTGTTTCGTCACATAAAGTAAGCTAGACTCTATATTAGATTTATATTTAAATATTTAGGCTACAAGGTAAACAATAATGTGTAAGAATATACTTGTATAAATATCAATTCGATTTTCTTCTGCCTTCATTTTGCGAGGAAAGTCAATAGAAATTATATACAAAACAAAGTGGTCAAAGATTCGAATTGGAAATCAGAAATCAGCAGATCTATCAGTAGACCTATCGATCCATGAATCCACACCGAGATATAGTGGCAGATGCAGATCGAGAATTGCGTATAGAATGCTTCTGTAGAGATAGTTACGTAGCTGAGAGAGTTAGTGAGAAAGAGCCTTGTGTGAGCGCAAGGTAAATCATAATAAGAACACCTGAGTTTTACATTTACACATACATATATCCGTATATCATATCATAATTAATATCAAGAGTGTTTGCCTACGCCTACGTCATTCGCTTTTAAATGGAAATTGAGGTCTCCTTTTTACCAGCCTTCCACCTCAGTCAACTATTTGGATTATAATATACCTTATACCTCATAAGGTAAATAAAAAAGAGAGAGAGAGACTCGGAGAAACTTGTGCAAACAGTTAAGGACTAAACTACGATATATCCGTTTAAGTTTAAGTTCCTATATATGTGCAAGCTTTATAAATATGTTACATTGAAAGTATCTCGTATGTACTTGGTTTTTTTTGTAAACATACAATATCTTTCGTACGCAGTTGTCATCGTATCATCATATCATCACGTAAACTAACTAAAAACTTAGGACAAAGAAAAAAAAAATAGAGTTGCGATCGCGTACACATATATCTATGCAATTTTCGAGAACTAATTAAGGTGCAGTGCTAGGGACAGGCCGAACAGCCAGCGGCGCAGCAGGGCGCCCGTTTACGAGGCATTCGAGGCCGGCAGCGTGACGGGCGCCTGTCTGTAGTACGCATTCGCCCCCTTGATCGGCAGCGGATGGGCCTCCGTGTTGAACACCCACTCGTCCAGCGGCAGCACCGAGTCGTCTGAGAACAGCAAGTACAGGTACTGCAATTGAAATAGGGTTAGTCTCAGGATTAATCTCAGTTTTTAAGTGACCAGTTCACCTTGAGTGTTTCGGCCAGAAAGAAGCTCTGCTGGACATCGTCCTTCTGCGGCTCCTGCTGGTAGACATTGCGCAGGCCGCAATAACCGTGCGCCGTGCGGCAGTGCTTTTCCAGGGCGAGGACCGCCTCCCAGCCCCAGTCGCGGTACTTCTGGTCGTGCGTGAGGCGCCACAGCACAAAGTAGCTCTCGAAAGTCTCCGGCCGGAGGATATAGTACTTCTCCTGCGATCTCAGAGCTCGCGCCTCCACGGCTTCACTGAATCTGCATAGATGAGGGATATTAGTATACCATTCTGCATTTTTGGGTAGCAGTTAATTTACCTAAAGGCCTCGGGGCCCAGCTGAGTGGGTGCTCGAATGTAGCTCTCGTGGCAGGTGTTCGTAATGCCCTTGCCCACCTCCATGTACTTGTCTGTATAATCATTCTGACGCGTGGCAGCTCCCAAAGCAAAGAGGCCACCTAAAAGTAGAGAAGATTCGTTAATATATAGTTATAGTTTCCAGTAGGCAAGCATACATACCCGAGAAGCAGGCCAAATGGTCCATCTTGTGCTCCAGCCGATCGAACTTGAGGTCGGAGACATAGGTCAGGCCGCCGGGACTGGTGCGCACCATCTTGTCCAGAATGGCCAGCATCGCCTCGTCGAACATCTCGCGGGCCTCCTCGTCCGTTTGCCCGGATTGCAGCCAGGCCTTCAGCAAGTACTCGTAGTAGCTATCGCCCAGGGCGCCCAAGGACATGTGGACTGTGGGGAAAAGGGAAATTTAGTATTATCGTCTCTTAAATTAAAGTAATAAGTAAGACCAATCTAGATATCTAACAAGAGAAAAAGTTCTTCGACTATCAGATAGCCGTTATGCAAGAATTAAATCAACTGCTTGCACTGCTTGCATTTCATTAACCTTAAGCTTGCATTTATTTTACTCATAACTTTTTAATAAATGATCCGATTATTAAATTTTCTTCTACATTTTGAAAGGTATTAAAAAACACAACAAAATGGAATTAACAGCTTTAAAAAATCTGTTAAGATTCTGTAAAAATGATTATTATTAGAAAAATTGTATTGAAGAATTTAAATTGCTACAAATTGTAATTATTTTCCAATTATTTATGATCTAATTTATATTACATTTTACTTTCAAGTTTCGCCGTTCGTAAAATTTAAATATTTAAGATTAACAAACTTACGCTGTCCCCATTTGCCCGTCTTTGGATTGAGGAAGTTGGGGTACAGGCCCTTCGGCTTC